CCGATGCCCATCCAGGGTAGTGGCAGGCGCAGGTTGGCCAGGTGTCGGCCTCTCAGGGAACACCCGATGGAGCCAAGTCCTTGGGGAGAGCCTTCACCCCGGGGCTCCATGAGGCCACACCCCTCAGTCCAAGGGCCTGGGGGCCTGAACGAACCCAGCACTTGCATATAGAAAGGTCTGGCAACTTGCAAGAGGAGAAAGAATGTTCTTTATGTCATACATCACCTGGGTCTTCCTGGGGAGAGCTAGTATGTAAAATGCACACAATTAAGGCCTAAATTCCCTTCATCGCCCTGGCTTCCGTCAACACCCTGATGAAGGCAGAGTTCCATGTTTCGGCTTCCACGATCGCCCTCGAGGGGTCACTTTGAGGGGGGAGGGGCCTGAACCTCTGACCACAAAAGGTTGCTCCCTCTGGATTCCTAAAACTGGGCAAAGTGGGGCCGGGCCCAGACTTGCTTCCGGCCTTCACCCATGGGGTGTTCCTTCCAGCTTCTCGCTGTTTAATGGTTGGCCCAGAAATTTATTGTGTGAGGAACAGATTCCAGAATTCATGTGGGTTCCGGTACGAGCCTCTGGCAAAAAGCGTTTCGAGCCGCCGTTTAGAACATGTAAAACACTAGAAATCCATGGCTTCTTTTTTTAAAAAAATTCTATTTTTATTTTTAAAAGCACTAATTTCATGTGAAACACCTTAGGGACGCGTGCAAAATCTAAACATCAGTTATGATTCACTGAGCCCAGGGAGTGACAAGTGGTGGCAACTACTCCAGGGGCATAAACCAGCATCAGCATCCTCCAGCCAGCAGCTCTCAGGGGGTGGCGCCATCGCTACGCTTCAAGTCTTTCCCTCTGACGTGACCCCTAGGAGGGACCCCGACAGTCACTCAATGGGAGGATAGACCACTATCGCTTCGAGCCACCCTCAAGGGAGAAGGGCAGGTGAGCAAGACACAGCCCCCCAGGTGGTGCTGGCCAGGCCACCACATGTTGTGCGCCCCTTCCCGAAGCCTCGGGCACATGCCCTCTCCTTCCGGGGCTCAGTTCACTTTCTGTGGACAGCCAGGGTGGACCGGAGCGGTGGCTGAGCACAGACCGCCCCCCAGAGCCTGCCTCTCCGTGAGCACGGACATGTGCAGGCACCACTTAACCCACAATTGCAGCTGCTACAGTAGAGGCAGTGATGAAGCAACCATGATCTCGTGCTCGGTGACAAGGACGTAACAGTAAAGCTCAGCCCTAGTAGATCTGCACCTGAGCCAGGCCGGTGCCAGCCTCATTATGCAGATCATGTCATTAATCCCTCATGACTGCTCTCTCCCGCTGGAATGAGGAATCAGGGCCTGGCGAAGGTCACGCAACTCCTTAGCGGCAGAATTGGAACTTGACCCCTGGAAGGCACCAGCCATCTCAGGTTTGTGACCCTTGTTCTGCCGACGCAGCTGGACCACCCTGCAGTCCTATCACGAGCTGCAGCCTGCTCTTTAATTCCCTTCCCACCCCCACTCCTGAAACTGGGCATGCCTGTGGAGAGGTGCATGAAGCACGTCTGTAGAGTTCAATGTCAGATCACAAGGCCGACATTCCGCTGACCCTTGGGCCAAGAGGCTGACGCCCTGCGCTCCCCGGCCCTCCCCGTCACACTCACATCATCCTGCTTTTCTCAATTTTTTCCCGTTTGCGTGCATTCTCAAACAGCATGCTGGATATGGGCCCGCTTCTGACGGGTATGTGAACGGAGCTATAGTTTGTCTCTCGGCCTTTTGCTGGCTGTCCTGTTATCCAATTCTGTCCCTGTCTTCCCCCTGGGTCCCTGGGACAAGGAAGTGGTGCAGGGCCGGCTCTGCGGTTCCCTTGCAGTCCACAGGTGTCCTGTTCCGGGAAAGCATGCCCACACCCAAACTCATTCACTGCATTTGAAATTTCAAACCCCGGCAAGGGCAGTGCGACAGAACCTTTTGTTTATTTAAACCCAACCCACCCTATTTAAAGTCCAATTGCAAAACATGCATTCCTGGGGTTCTCCAGGACTGGTCCTTCTGCTTTTCCTTCACCCCGGCTGGGTGCTTCCCACTGGAAGCTCTAGTGGGGTCCCCCCTCCCTTCCTGGCCCTCACTCCTGCCCTCTGGTCCTCCCCAGGAAGACGAAGGGCAGTCCCGCGAGGTCCTGGACGGCCACACTTATGGGATGGACCCTTCTCTCCCTCCCCCTCCCAGGTCTCCCTGCGGGGCTTGCCAGTGGAAAGTCCCAGGTTAAAAAGTTTCAAAGCAAGTCTACCTTCTGGGTCAAGAATAGCGTCTTCGAATCGTTGCTAATGGGAAGAATATGCTCACATTTCGCTTCGGCCCTGAAAAAGACATTGGAGCAATTCTGAGCAGTATCGGTTGAGGTTATTTATTTGTTCGTTGTGACCCTGCACCTCTGCGTTCAGCTCGGCTCGGAAATGCGAAGGCGGGATCGGACCCTCCCTCGTCGAAAAGACCCGCCGTTTTCACGAGTGCACAACATCTGCCACCCCTACCGCTTCTACCTGACCAACGGGGCCTTCTCGGAAGGAGAGACCCGACCCGCACCACCCCACCGCCCCACCGCCCCCGACGACAGAGAGGCCCAGGGGCCCGGCTGGGTTCTGGCATCTGGAGCTCTGCAGGGGGCAGCACAGTCCTAAAGCCTTGCAGAAAGGGGGTGTCGCACAGTCCTAACCGTCCCCCTATCCCAGGCTGTGGCCCGCAGGAGGCGGCGTGGGGGTGTGTCGCTAAGTCCTAACACCCGCCCCTTCCCTCTCCCTGGTTCCCGGCAGGAGGCGGCCGTGGCGGATCTCGGTTCCTAAGCTCCCTATCCCGGGAGCTCCCCGCTGGGGACGCAGGTGCGGGGGAGGAGGCGGACGGAGGGTGCTGTCGCACAGTTCTAAATTCCCCAGCGATCCCACCCCACGCCTCCTCCGGGGCTCGCGCCGCGCGCCGGCGCGTTTCGGTGTGGCCGAGGCTCTGGGACCGGACGGAGCGGACGCTCCGCTAGTGTCCCGCGCGGCAGCCGAGCTCGGCTCCGCCGTCCCCACGCCACGTCCCAAGCTTCACCCCCGGCTGTTTTTCTGTTCGTTTGAAAGTTGTGCTTTCAGCCAAGCGGGACCCGAACCCGGTTAGTTGTCCGTTGAGTCTCAGAGTGCACGGAGTTTTGTCGGGTGTGAAACACTTCAGCTCGCGGCATTTGCTGCGGAGGTGTAACCGCCCCCAGCACAGCCACTGTCCTTAACCGGGTCGCGCCGCGCGCGACAGCCGGGGCGGC